AAATAAACATTTCATTTGACTTTTCAAAGTTACAAACTTACCTAAAGTTAATAAGTTTCAAGAAAGTATATAAAGGTGATATACTGAGGTGAGATATTTGTGGCAAATCTAAACGTTTCTTCAATGCTTGTGAAATTTTATTTAATGTAGGTAATTCATTTTTTAAAAAGAAATCATGTACCAATCTTTTAACAGCATTTTTGAACCCCTCATTAAATATTTTTAGAAGTCCGGGTCCTCCACCAATATTTTTTGGACTACATATGGTTCCACTTTTACGGTATTCTTTTAATACCCGGTAAACTGTTGACTTTACAACTCTTGTAAAAAAATTTGGGTATTTAATACCATTTTTAATTTGAAAGTAATGAGTAGGTATAACTTACCGGCGGCTTGAGAAATTTTGGATACAACATCCACCATTTTGGTTTTTGGTTTACATTCAATACCTGTTTGTACATATTTATTATGTGCTGTTTTTCTGCGAGACTTAAATGGCCTAAACTCAAACGTTTTCGCTGTTTTGGTGGACTACGCAAGGAACTGCTACCTCTACTAGTACTCGGTGTAGAATTATCCATAATCGCAGAAATTCAATACAATTGCTTACCGAAAATCTGAAAAGAACTGTTTTTTAAAGAAATAGAGTGGAAAACTAAGTAATAATGATAAGAGATCAAACAAAAACCGAAAGCAATAACAGAACTAAAAATATAAATAAAATGTCAGAAGTGTCAATAATGTCAGTTATTAGCTGATGTTAATGCAAAAGTGATGTGTGAAACTGGCTGCAATCTAACCAATCAGAAGTCTTCAGAATTGCCAACTTAAATTCAAATCGCTCCTCCTGGTTTTTAAACAGACTTTATATATCTACAAAAATAAATAAAACGCAATGAATATTGATATAAAATAAAAAAAAAAATATCACAAATAAAAAATCCCAAAATGTGTTGCCTATAGAAAAGGTAGAAAAATTTACATTACACAAAAAAAATATTTATTTAGAAAGATATTGCTTAGCAATGTCGCCTTAATAATTGGGACTGTTTGCAATATTATTGATGGCTTTTACCACATTTTCCAATGCCACTATAATAGCATTCAACCCTTCGTTATTGCTTTAATCATCTCATTAAATAAAACTTTCTCCTCTGATTGCTTCATTTTAACAAAGTTATAATTTTGTTTGGGAGCTTAATTTTCTTTGTTTTTTCTTCAACAAGAAGTACTGGATTAAATTCCTTTTCGTGATAGGTATCCACATTAGACACATTGTCGATGTCTAAGGGTATAGACTCTTCTTCTTGGTCTATTATGAGTTCTATGTTTTCTACATTACTTGAACCTTCTCCAAAACCTAGACCCAAGCTGCTGTTATTGCCAATTGTTGCTAGAAGTTTTTGTTCTCTTTCGGAGATGTAATGTTTAAATGTAACACTATTTCCCGTTTTTTTAAATTTATTTTAATGTTACTACTTTTCTTCCTCGTCAGTAGCTTCTGATTTTTCCAAACCTATAAAAGCCGACAGTAAGTTAAAAAAAAATAAGCATTATTTAGACTTAAAATTAACCTTTTTCCACTGTTCCAACGCTTTTTTGGGGACCCATTTCATTCGATTATCTGATAATTTTACCCACATTTCCCATTTTTTCCCCTTGTATACCAACAAACTTTCTTGTAGCAATTTTTTTATGCTCAGACATGTAGTCCACTAAGTGGTTTAATTAAATTTCCGTGCATCTCTGTCGTTTTTGATCCATTTTTAATCATAAAAATCTAATAATAAAAAGCAAAACACTGGTGGTAAACAGTAAACACAAGGTCTAATGAAGTAATGAATGGGAATTATTCATTCTTATTTTTTGAGAAGCATTTAGACTAAACATCCATGTGCTATGAGCAAAATCATATAATTATTCTTTTGATGTTCTTAGAACACAACGTTGCCAAACCTCACAGACTAATTTTCTAGTACTGTAGTTGTAGCCCTATTAAATTTATATTCGGACTATTTCTAGACTAGTAGAATATGCCTGGACTATAATTATTTATAGTCTACATGTTTAGTATGCTAAACTTATAGTCTTTTCTATAGTTCCTTAGTAGAATAACCCTGCTGGAAGTTGCTTGGAAATTTTGGTAGGTTACATTGTTGCTCTTTAGGTACCTATATGAAATAATCAAAATGAAAGTGAATAATGCAAAGTGAATTTTTAGAATTATTTTTTTCTATACAGTTTTGAGCTTACATTAAATTGTAATTAGATGAAACAAAATGGATTCTATGTATTTTGAGGTGATCTTTTCGAAAAAAGGCAAAACAAAATGTAGCAGTTTTTCGAAAGTGCCGAAATTTTGGATTTTGTCAATTTTTCAATTTTGCGCATGCGCATGTCGCAAATAAATCAATATTTTTAAAACGCAGTTTACGACATTTGAAAGATTAGAAAAAATTCTAATTTTTATGTCTCTTGAGAAATTTTGATCCGATGCACCTTTCTCGAGGTATGGACGATTGAAATTTGTTTAGTATTTTGAGGCGGCGAAGGTCGAAAAATTGAATTTGTTAAATGTTCAAACACTAAATTCTTCATAACTTTGGTAAAAATTAAGATATTTGAAGAAATAAAAATTCGTCTTGAACTTAAGGGATGTGACTATTGATTCCCAAAAGGGGGGCAAGTGAAATCCCAAAATTGGGCATATGGCGGAAGGGCAAAGTGTATCGCAAGCCTAATTTCATTGTTTGCCTATAACAGCCAAACTATTTAAATTTTTTTAATGGCACTCATATAGCTTACTCTTAAATATGAAATCTTAAACCTGTGTGAATTTTACCAAAATCGGATTTTAATTGGCCAAGATATCAAACAATTTAACAATTTTTTTTCCTTAAAAAAAAACTTTTTTTTCGAAAGTTTGAAGTGGCACAAAAATGCCAAAAATGCACCCAATGACTTAAAACTTTTTTTTTTGAATACTCTAATATGTCTAGAATACGATAACATTACGGAAAATTCTGCAAACACATTTTATCTATTTTTTTGACTACTGTTCATTGAGTGACGACCAAAAAACACGGTTTTTGAGAAAAGTTGCCTAAAATTGACGATTTTCAGTTTTTTGGTCTGAAAATTGAGCAAACCCAAATCGCATGTCTTCTGAATGTGTATACAAAATTTAAAGTGTGTATGTTTCTTCTAAGTTGTATAATTCTCCCGACAAAAGTCCCATTACACGCGCTCCGCGGGATCCTAAACTCGTGCATTTCTGTAATTTGATTTTTTTGTGATTTCCAGTTTTAAATTTCTTACATACCTAAATTAATTAGGCCTAAAATTTATTAATTTTTTTTTTACTGACTTGTTATAAGGCGTTTCTTGAGTTTTGTGCAAAAAATAGAATTACCGCAAAATTAGCCGGACGTCGTATCAAGGATAGCCATGGTCTCGGCTTTCGCTATCCGACAAGTTTAAACTTGAAACGGTCATATTATTACAAATTGAATCGCTTGATATTGTTCATCGGCATAGATTTTTAATAACCGTGTTCAGCAAGCTCTGTGTACACGTGGTTTTTCGGACTTCTTCAGCAATTTATTGAGTAAGTACATTCTTAAATTAAGAAAATTCTATCACAGTGCTATAATTTTTTTGTTTCCAGGTTGCAATGGCTGGCCTGTGTTTATTATGTCATCAGAAACTTGCAGAGGGTGAACTTACCCCAATTAGACCGACAGGATTAAAAGGTCTGCAGATGGTCAGCAAAGAGAGAGGGGATGATTTTTTCAGTTCTTTAGAACCAGGTTTTATATTGCATGAGAGGTGTCACAAACATTACGTAGCTCGACGTTACGGAAAAGAGTTTATTTATAAAACCTGGGATAGGCATAAAAGGGCCGCGATTGACAATGCCAAGAAAAAAGGAGGATGGAGCATCAACCGAGAAGAAAACCAGATGTTAGAGAACAAAAAAACAAGCTTATCACCAAGTTGGATCTTACACTCAAGCTTAGGATTAATTTCCTAACATTTTTAAAGTATACCTTTTTGTATATTTTTTGTGCTCTTTCCGATGGCGCAGTTAGTTTCTTCAAATATATTTTTCGTAAGATGTTTTCGGAAAACCCGGAGAAAATCATATGGGAAAAAAATTAAAAAAAATTTACGCCTTCCGGTCTCCTGCGAATTTCCGAAAAATTATGACAGATTTCGCCGCGGGACTTATTTTATTTGAGAGCCCACAAAAAAATACGCAACTTTTCTCATGGGCACATATGTCTAATATTTATAATTTCGCTACAAATTCATCACAAATTTCATGTTCATAATTCTGATCAAAGAAACGAAAAAACAACTTTTTGGTAAAAGCACTTCTGGCGGCGAGAAATTCGCCATTAAAACTACCTGTGCAATGAACTTCCAAACTATTTTTGCCTCCTCTTTCGATTGGTGCATTTATTTTTACTATCACAATGATACTTGCCCAGATAATTAGCATTTTTACCATGGAAAATTCCGGAAAACCCGGTTTTTCCTAATTTAAAAAAAATTGAAAAACAGCTACTTCATTTTTTTCTTTTTTTCGGAAAGATCACATCAAAATACACAAGGTCCACTTTGTTTCATCCAATTACAAATTAATGTAAGCTCGAAGGGGCTTTTTTTCGTTATTTAATTGGACTAATTCTATCCCGATATATTTTGTATGATCTGTTTAATATAATTTTTACACTGTCAAAGTAGATCGAGTGTAGTAACAGTTATTTAAAGTTGAAAAAGTTTAGTTTATATCTGTTCTAACAAAAACAACGAGCGAGTAAGTAATTGACATAATAAAATAATATAATTTATCAAGAAACTATTAATATTAAGAATACTAATTTAAAGCCCAACATAAATAATGAGTTTATTATTTTACAGAATCTTGGTATCTAAATTCTTATTTTTTTTTAACAAAATCACTATTACAAAAGATAAGATTAGTTTATATTATATATAGAATATAATGTTAATAATTTAACTAATAAGTTTCCCAGTTAAAAATGGTTTTTGTTGCGCTTGTCTACATTTTCCTCTCCCTGATGGGCATAATTTTCTTTTATATCAAATGGAAACAGTCCTACTGGAGTCGTAAGGGTGTTAACTACATAGAACCAGATTTCTTTTTTGGAAATACGACTGCTATGACCAAACGGAAAGACCACAGAAGCAAAGTATTTGAAAGATTTTATCGTCATTTCAAATCGAGAGGCGAAAAATTTGGTGGTGTTTATGACTTCTTCTCGCCGGTACTTATCGTTACCGATCAGGAACTGATCAGGAACGTTCTTCAGAAAGATTTCTCACATTTCGTTAACCGCGTAGGTTATATTAACGAAGATGCGGATGCTATAACTGGAAATCTATTTAACTTGAAAAATGAAAAATGGAAGAACATCAGATCAAAGCTAACGCCAACATTTACAACAGGTGAGATTTCATTCAATAGTTGCTTATTCATGATCAATAGCTTCATTATTAAAAAAATATCTATTTGAAAAAGTTCGATCAACTAAATTCCAATAAATACAACACCAGTAGCTTTCTAAAAACGATAACATCCTCTATTGTAGAAGTACCAGATTTCTGAGCAGATATTATACGGTCATAACTTTATCATGCTCGATGATTTTAATGTTTCCGAATTTGTTAATTTAAGAAATGAAACACATAAATGTAAGTTAATTACTAATCTCTCTAACTTTTTTGACCTGGTACAGTTTAAAAATCTCTTAAATTCAGATAACAGACTATTGGACTTAACATTTTCTAATATTAATTATTCGGTCTCAAAAGCCATTGAAATTATTACTAAAGAAGACAGCTATCACCCATCCATAGCTATTGATCTCAGTTTTGATAACAGATATAATTAATTTTTAGTTAATTTTAAGTAAGACACATCGCAACTTAATTTAAAAAAGTGTAACTATCCTGCTCTATATTCTGAACTACTTTACACTGACTGGAACTTTATTAGTCAGCTTAGTGATCCTAAAACAGCTACAAATTATATTGTAGATAAAATTACATCGGTTCTTAAAAAGCCGATTTAAAAAAAGATAACCCCTTCTCATATACACTCACCGACTTAAAATTCGAACCATTCGAAATAATGATTTATTTAAAAATGCTCTAACTTTCAAATGCGAAATCCGATTTATTTGAATTTTTTAGCAACTTTTAGATAAAATACTGTTATTTTAAGAGTATTATTCAGACATCTAAAAGTAATTTAGTACTCGCCGTATATACAGAGGAGAAGAGAAAACAATTTTTTCCTCTACATTTGACACACCCTGTAGGTTAATTCTGCTAGTAAATCTGCACACAATTAACTTTATCAAGAAGACTGATTTGTTTCCAGCACTTTGTTTTTTTATTTAACCCGATATCTTAATTTTTTTGTGAAATGTGACGGTTTAAAAAAAATGCTACATTTTAGAAACGGTCATAATTTAAATGATAGTAGAGAATAAACTACAAAATAAGTAGATTGCTGTGACAAAATCACGATATGACAACTGTCAAATATTTGGTACTTGGAAATTGCAGTTTAATTATCAGCATAACAAATATTCATTATCATGGTTTTAACGCCTACTGATGCAACACGAGCAGTTGCTCTGGTACAAGAATTATGCTTCTAAAATATTAGGTGTTACAAGGTGTAGCGTCCAGAAAGCTGTACAACGTTTCAATGAAACTGGTAGTTTTTCGAGACGAAGAGGATCTGGCAGATGTCGTTATACAAATGTTCGAAATGATCGTTTTGTAACATTAAAGTTTTGCGAGAAAGAAATAATACTGCTGTCATGGCTCGAAATCATTTAGAA